TGACTACTAGAGGTAGTAAAGGGGACTGACTACATAGAGGTAGTAGAAGGGACTGTCTACATAGAGGTAGTAGAAGGGGACTGACTACATAAGGTTAGTAAAAGGGGGGGACTGACTACATAGAGGTAGTAGAAGGGGACTGACTACATAGAGGTAGTAGAAGGGGACTGTCTACATAGAGGTAGTAGAAGGGGACTGACTACATAGAGGTAGTAGAAGGGGACTGTCCTAAAATAGAGGTAGTAGAAGGGACTGTCTACATAGGGGTTTAGTAGAAGGGGACTGTCTACATAGAGGTAGTAGAAGGGGGACTGTCTACTACATAGAGGTAGTAAAGGGGACGGACTACATAGAGGTAGTAGAAGGGACTGACTACATAGAGGTAGTAAAAAGGGGACTGACTACATAGAGGAAAGTAGAAGGGGACTGTCTACATAAGGTAGTAGAAGGGGACTGACTACATAGAGGTAGTAGAAGGGGACTGACTACATAGAGGTAGTAGAAGGGGACTGTCTACATAGAGGTAGTAGAAGGGGACTGACTACATAGAGGTAGTAGAAGGGGACTGACTACATAGAGGTAGTAGAAGGGGACTGTCTACATAGAGGTAGTAGAAGGGGACTGTCTACATAGAGGTAGTAGAAGGGGACTGACTACATAGAGGTATTAAAGGGGACTGACTACATAGAGGTAGTAAAAGGGGGACGGGACTATCTACATAGAGGTAGTAGAAGGGGACTGACTACATAGAGGTAGTAGAAGGGGACTGTCTACATAGAGGTAGTAGAAGGGGACTGTCTATCTACATAGAGGTAGTAGAAGGGGACTGACTATCTACATAGAGGTAGTAGAAGGGGACTGACTACATAGAGGTAGTAGAAGGGTCTGTCTACATAGAGGTAGTAAAAGGGGGACTGACTACATAGGGGTGTAGAAGGGGACTGTCTACATAGAGGTAGTAGAAGGGGGACTGACTACATAGAGGTAGTAGAAGGGGACTGTCTACATAGAGGTAGTAGAAGGGGACTGACTACATAGAGGTAGTAGAAGGGGACTGTCTACATAGAGGTAGTAGAAGGGGACTGTCTACATAAGGAGTAGAAGGGGGACTGTCTACATAGGGTATAGAAGGGGACTGACTACATAGAGCTAGTAGAAGGGGACTGACTACATAGAGGTAGTAGGAGGGGACTGTCTACATAAGGAAAGTAAAAGGGGACTGACTACATAGAGCTAGTAGAAGGGGACTGACTACATAGAGGTAGTAGGAGGGGACTGTCTACATAGAGGTAGTAGAAGGGGACTGTCTACATAGAGGTAGTAGAAGGGGACTGTCCTACATAGAGGTAGTAGAAGGGGACTGACTACATAGAGGTGGTAGAAGGGGACTGACTACATAGAGGTAGTAGAAGGGGACTGTCTACATAGAGGTAGTAGAAGTGGACTGACTACATGGAGGTAGTAGAAGGGGACTGACTACAAAAGAGGTATAGAAGGGACTGTCTATCTACATAAGGTAGTAGAAGGGACTGTCTATATAGAGGTAGTAGAAGGGACTGTCTACATAGAGGTAGTAGGGGGGGAAACTGACTACATAGAGGTAGTAGAAGGGACTGTCTCATAAAGTAGTATAAGGGACTGTCTACATAGAGGTAGTAGAAGGGGACTGTCTACATAGAGGTAGTAGAAGGGGACTGACTACATAGAGGTAGTAGAAGGGGACTGACTACAGAGGTAGTAGAAGGGGACTGACTACATAGAGGTAGTAGAAGGGACTGTCTATCTACATAGAGGTAGTAGAAGGGGACTGACTACATAGAGGTAGTAGAAGGGGACTGACTACATAGAGGTAGTAGAAGGGGACTGACTACATAGAGGTAGTAGAAGGGGACTGTCTATCTACATAGAGGTAGTAGAAGGGGACTGACTACATAGAGGTATAAAAGGGGGACTACTACATAGATGTAGTAAAAGGGACTGCCCTATCTACATAGAGGTAGTAGAAGGGGACTGACTACATAGAGGTAGTAAAAGGGGACTGACTACATAGAGGTAGTAGAAGGGGACCGTCTATATAGAGGTAGTAGAAGGGGACCGTCTACATAGAGGTCTTTTCTGCTTCATGTTCCATGTCAGTACCGCTAAAACCCAGAGGAGGGCGCTTGTTCACAACAAAAGGTTTAGTAAAACAAACACCTCATCAAGCCTGTTACCATAGCAGCCACTTATGATAGCTAGCCTAGCTGATGAGCATCTGTATACGTACAGCTCTACTGCTGCTAGCAGCTGTAGGAGGTCTCCTCCGTTCATGTAGTAAAGATAGAACAGCAGATCCTCTCCATACCGAGACAGTTTTATTGCAGCAAGCTGGGGAGAGAGAGAGAGAGAGAGAGAGAGAGAGAGAGAGAGAGAGAGAGAGAGAGAGAGAGAGAGAGAGAGAGAGAGAGAGAGAGAGAGACCGAAAGAGAAAGCGAGAGAACAGGGGAGAGACAGAAAGAGAAAGAGAGAGAGAGACAGAAAGAGAAAGAGAGACAGAGAAAAGACACAGAAGACAAGAGAGACAGAAAGAGTAGAAGAGACAGAAAAGAGAGAAGAATGAAACAGAAGAGAGAGAGAGAAGAGAGAGAGAGAAGAAAACACAGAAAGAAGAAGAGAGAGAACAAAGAGAGAGAGAGAGAGAGAGAAGAGAGAGAGAGAGAGAGAAAGAGAGAGAGAGAGAGAGAGAGAGAGAGAGAGACAGAGACAGAGAGAGAAGACAGAGAGAGAGACAGAGAGAGACAGAAGAGAAGAGAGATAGAGAGACAGAGAGAGAGAGAGAGACAGAAAGAAGAGAGACAGAAAGAGAGAGACAGAAAGAGAGAGAGAGAGAGAGAGACCGAGAGAGAGAGAGAGAGAGAGAGACAAAACAGGTTATTCATCTTTTGAGCTACTAGCTACCTGGCACCACCAGCATCAACAACAGAAGCTAACGGTGCCGTTCTAATCACAACCATGCTAGATAAAAAGATCATACTCAACTCTCATATAGTGGACAGAGCCGATAGGAAAATGCTTGTTTGGTGTTGCTAGTGCACCCAAACAAACAACAACGTTACACTGAGCTGGTTAGATAAAGTACTTCAACCATCCTTAACGACCAACTTAGATGAACGTCTGATAACATCATCTGTTATGAGTGGTTTGGTGCTAGACCAGAATGGACCACATTTTGGAGACTGTCTGCTAGGAGGGGTGATTGGTGGTGTGTTATGGCCAAGTTGGCCAACAGTAACCCAACCCTGGGTGTTTTTATTGTGTTTCTGAGGTACATACCTTGTCCCTTATGTGAATGTTGGTTAAATACTCAGATGGAACATGGAAGTCTGGAAGTAAAGAGAGGAGAGGTGGTTAGAGAGAACCAGAGAGGGAAGTTGGCAGAATCTATCCCACCTCCAGAGCATCTGGCTGGGTAGGATACGTACCGATGTCCTGGGGTCGACACGGTGCTGACGCCCAGGGAGACGCAAACTTGGGGTACAGGTTTCTGGAGGACAAGAAAGTGGTCATGTTGAAACTGTCAGATTCTTTTGTTGCCATGTTGTCTTGGTAACAGCTTACACAACACCTTGTCATTCTCTTTTTGGGAGAAAAAAAACTACAGAAAATGTGAACTAAGTTAGTGAAGAATGAGGATTGGACGTAATAGCAGCCTGTCCAGCCAGTGTGTTTCAGGAGGCTAATAGCAGCCTGTCCAGCCAGTGTGTTTCAGGAGGCTAAAGCAGAGAACAGCAGCCTGTCCAGCCAGTGTGTTTCAGGAGGCTGTCTGCTACTGCTCTCAAGCTGTCAGTATGAGACAACAGGTAGCAGGAGGACTGATTAATAACGGCTTCAGCTGCTCACACAACATGTAGCAGGAGGACTGATTAATAACGGCTTCAGCTGCTCACACAACATGTAGCAGGAGGACTGATTAATAACGGCTTCAGCTGCTCACACAACATGTAGCAGGAGGACTGATTAATAACGGCTTCAGCTGCTCACACAACATGTAGCAGGAGGACTGATTAATAACGGCTTCAGCTGCTCACACAACATGTAGCAGGAGGACTGATTAATAACGGCTTCAGCTGCTCACACAACATGTAGCAGGAGGACTGATTAATAACGGCTTCAGCTGCTCACACAACATGTAGCAGGAGGACTGATTAATAACGGCTTCAGCTGCTCACACAACATGTAGCAGGAGGACTGATTAATAACGGCTTTAGCTGCTCACACAACATGTAGCAGGAGGACTGATTAATAACGGCTTCAGCTGCTCACACAACATGTAGCAGGAGGACTGATTAATAACGGCTTCAGCTGCTCACACAACATGTAGCAGGAGGACTGATTAATAACGGCTTCAGCTGCTCACACAACATGTAGCAGGAGGACTGATTAATAACGGCTTTAGCTGCTCACACAACATGTAGCAGGAGGACTGATTAATAACGGCTTCAGCTGCTCACACAACATGTAGCAGGAGGACTGATTAATAACGGCTTCAGCTGCTCACACAACAGGTAGCAGGAGGACTGATTAATAAAGGCTTCAGCTGCTCACACAACATGTAGCAGGAGGACTGATTAATAACGGCTTCAGCTGCTCACACAACATGTAGCAGGAGGACTGATTAATAACGGCTTCAGCTGCTCATCTTATTCTGATTGGAGGAGGGAGACGCCAAGAGAGGTGTACAGGTGTGTGAAAGAGAAGGAGTTTATGCCACTCCTAGCCTTGTTACTATAGTAACCTGTTCTACTCCTAGCCTTGTTCCAGTAATAACCAGTTCTACTCCTAGCCTTGTTCCTGTAATAACCTGTTAAACTCCTAGTCTTGTTCCTGTAATAACCTGTTCTACTCCTAGCCTTGTTCCTGTAATATCCTGTTCTACTCCTAGCCTTGTTCCTGTAATAACCTGTTCTACTCCTAGTCTTGTTCCTGTAATAACCTGTTCTACTCCTTGCCTCGTTCCAGTAATAACCTGTTCTACTCCTAGCCTTGTTCCTGTAATAACCTGTTCTACTCCTAGCCTTGATACTATAGTAACCTGTTCTACTCCTAGCCTTGTTCCTGTAATAACCTGTTCTACTCCTAGCCTCGTCCCTGTAGTAACCTGTTCTACTCCTAGCCTTGTTCCAGTAATAACCAGTTCTACTCCTAGCCATGTTCCTGTAATAACCTGTTCTACTCTTTGCCTCGTTCCAGTAATAACCTGTTCTACTCCTAGCCTTGTTCCTGTAATAACCTGTTCTACTCCTAGCCTCGTTCCTGTAGTAACCTGTTCTACTCCTAGCCTCGTCCCTGTAGTAACCTGTTCTACTCCTAGCCTCGTTCCTGTAGTAACCTGTTCTACTCCTAGCCTCGTTCCTGTAGTAACCTGTTCTACTCCTAGCCTCGTTCCTGTAGTAAACTGTTCTACTCCTAGCCTCGTTCCTGTAGTAACCTGTTCTACTCCTAGCCTCGTTCCTGTAATAACCTGTTCTACTCCTAGCCTTGTTCCTGTAGTAACCTGTTCTACTCCTAGCCTTGTTCCTGTAATAACCTGTTCTACTCTTAGCCTCGTTCCTGTATTAATATTTATATTAACATTTTAGTCATTTAGCAGATGCTCTTATCCAGAGCGACTTACAGTTAGTGAGTGCATACATTTTTCATACTGGCCCCCCGTGGGAATCGAACCCACAACCCTGGCGTTGCAAGCGCCATGCTCTACCAACTGAGCTACAGGAGGGCTTATGTGGTTTGATTGATTTTCAGAGTCTGCATCCCAAATGAAACCCTATGCCAAGGGTAAAACTTTTCTTGCCCAGACAAACCGGCGACCCAGAAAACCCCATCATATGCAAAAAAATGATCAGGTGAATAATAAATGGAAAGGAGGTAAAACAACAAAAAATGATAGATTTGGTAGATATTAATTTGACCTCCCCAGTTATAATTGGAAGAGGAAGTGGAAACTCTAACATAGCCTGTTAGCTATTAAGGTAACTCCAAACACATTTTCTGCTAAACTGTATGTCCAAGTCAAGAAAGCTTACCAGTAGCCATAGGCACTTCCCCCAGTAGCCATAGGTACTTCCCCCAGTAGCCATAGGTACTTCCCCCAGTAGCCATAGGCACTTCCCCCAGTAGCCATAGGTACTTCCCCCAGTAGCCATAGGTACTTCCCCCAGTAGCCATAGGCACTTCCCCCAGTAGCCATAGGCACTTCCCCCAGTAGCCATAGGCACTTCCCCCAGTAGCCATAGGCACTTCCCCCAGTAGCCATAGGTACTTCCCCCAGTAGCCATAGGCACTTCCCCCAGTAGCCATAGGCACTTCCCCCAGTAGCCATAGGTACTTCCCCCAGTAGCCATAGGCACTTCCCCCAGTAGCCATAGGCACTTCCCCCAGTAGCCATAGGTACTTCCCCCAGTAGCCATAGGTACTTCCCCCAGTAGCCATAGGCACTTCCCCCAGTAGCCATAGGTACTTCCCCCAGTAGCCATAGGCACTTCCCCCAGTAGCCATAGGCACTTCCCCCAGTAGCCATAGGCACTTCCCCCAGTAGCCATAGGCACTTCCCCCAGTAGCCATAGGTACTTCCAGTACTCCTAGCCTTGTTCCTGTAATAACCTGTTCTACTCCTAGCCTTGTTCCTGTAATAACCTGTTCTACTCCTAGCCTTGTTTCTGTAATAACCTGTTCTACTCCTAGCCTTGTTCCTGTAATAACCAGTTCTACTCCTAGCCTCGTTCCTGTAATAACCTGTTCTACTCCTAGCCTTGTTCCTGTAATAACCTGTTCTACTCCTAGCCTCGTTCCTGTAAATAACCTGTTCTACTCCTAGCCTTGTTCCTGTAGTAACCTGTTCTACTCCTAGCCTTGTTCCTGTAATAACCTGTTCTACTCCTAGCCTTGTTCCTGTAGTAACCTGTTCTACTCCTAGCCTTGTTCCTGTAGTAACCTGTTCTACTCCTAGCCTTGTTCCTGTAGTAACCTGTTCTACTCCTAGCCTTGTTCCTGTAATAACCTGTTCTACTCCTAGCCTTGTTCCTGTAATAACCTGTTCCACTCCTAGCCTTGTTCCTGTAATAACCTGTTCTACTCCTAGCCTCGTTCCTGTAATAACCTGTTCTACTCCTAGCCTCGTTCCTGTAATAACCTGTTCTACTCCTAGCCTTGTTCCTGTAATAACCTGTTCTACTCCTAGCCTCGTTCCTGTAATAACCTGTTCTACTCCTAGCCTTGTTCCTGTAGTAACCTGTTCTACTCCTAGCCTTGTTCCTGTAGTAACCTGTTCTACTCCTAGCCTTGTTCCTGTAATAACCTGTTCTACTCCTAGCCTTGTTCCTGTAATAACCTGTTCTACTCCTAGCCTTGTTCCTGTAATAACCTGTTCTACTCCTAGCCTTGTTCCTGTAATAACCTGTTTCTACTCCTAGCCTTGTTCCTGTAATAACCTGTTCTACTCCTAGCCTTGTTCCTGTAATAACCTGTTCTACTCTTAGCCTCGTTCCTGTATTAATATTTATATTAACATTTTAGTCATTTAGCAGATGCTCTTATCCAGAGCGACTTACAGTTAGTGAGTGCATACATTTTTCATACTGGCCCCCCGTGGGAATCGAACCCACAACCCTGGCGTTGCAAGCGCCATGCTCTACCAACTGAGCTACAGGAGGGCTTATGTGGTTTGATTGATTTTCAGAGTCTGCATCCCAAATGAAACCCTATGCCAAGGGTAAAACTTTTCTTGCCCAGACAAACCGGCGACCCAGAAAACCCCATCATATGCAAAAAAATGATCAGGTGAATAATAAATGGAAAGGAGGTAAAACAACAAAAAATGATAGATTTGGTAGATATTAATTTGACCTCCCCAGTTATAATTGGAAGAGGAAGTGGAAACTCTAACATAGCCTGTTAGCTATTAAGGTAACTCCAAACACATTTTCTGCTAAACTGTATGTCCAAGTCAAGAAAGCTTACCAGTAGCCATAGGCACTTCCCCCAGTAGCCATAGGTACTTCCCCCAGTAGCCATAGGTACTTCCCCCAGTAGCCATAGGCACTTCCCCCAGTAGCCATAGGTACTTCCCCCAGTAGCCATAGGTACTTCCCCCAGTAGCCATAGGCACTTCCCCCAGTAGCCATAGGCACTTCCCCCAGTAGCCATAGGTACTTCCCCCAGTAGCCATAGGCACTTCCCCCAGTAGCCATAGGCACTTCCCCCAGTAGCCATAGGCACTTCCCCCAGTAGCCATAGGCACTTCCCACAGTAGCCATAGGTACTTCCCCAGTAGCCATAGGTACTTCCCCCAGTAGCCATAGGCACTTCCCCCAGTAGCCAATAGGCACTTCCCCCAGTAGCCATAGGTACTTCCCCCAGTAGCCATAGGCACTTCCCCCCAGTAGCCATAGGCACTTCCCCCAGTAGCCATAGGTACTTCCCCCAGTAGCCATAGGTACTTCCCCCAGTAGCCATAGGCACTTCCCCCAGTAGCCATAGGCACTTCCCCCAGTAGCCATAGGCACTTCCCCCAGTAGCCATAGGCACTTCCCCCAGTAGCCATAGGCACTTCCCCCAGTAGCCATAGGCACTTCCCCCAGTAGCCATAGGCACTTCCCCCAGTAGCCATAGGTACTTCCCCCAGTAGCCATAGGTACTTCCCCCAGTAGCCCATAGGCACTTCCCCCAGTAGCCATAGGCACTTCCCCCAGTAGCCATAGGCACTTCCCCCAGTAGCCATAGGCACTTCCCCCAGTAGCCATAGGCACTTCCCCCAGTAGCCATAGGCACTTCCCCCAGTAGCCATAGGCACTTCCCCCAGTAGCCATAGGTACTTCCCCCAGTAGCCATAGGTACTTCCCCCAGTAGCCATAGGCACTTCCCCCAGTAGCCATAGGCACTTCCCCCAGTAGCCATAGGCACTTCCCCCAGTAGCCATTTCAGATTTACACAAAGAGGTTGGCACTGAATAAGGTTCAGTTGTCTACAGTCCACAACATCTTCACCGCTGGTCTGCTGTCCAATACAAACCTCATGGGAAACTGGTAGCACCTTTGGCTTGACCATAGATACACTTTAAAACACATTAAGCCAATGTCCAGCACTTAAAAACAAAAAATAAAACACATGCCTACTTTTAAAAGAGAACACTTCAAATGGAATGTGGCCCTAGAAAGCCAAAGAACAGGATCCTTAAACTAAATCAACTGATCCTGCATCTTTGCCTGTGCTACAAACTTCTTGAGTCTAGTGGATGTCACAACCTGTTCTACTCCTAGCCTTGTTCTCAAGCTCCTAGCCTCGTTCCTGTAATAACCTGTTCTACTCCTAGCCTTGTTCCTGTAATAACCTGTTCTACTCCTAGCCTTGTTCCTGTAATAACCTGTTCTACTCCTAGCCTTGTTCCTGTAATAACCTGTTCTACTCCTAGCCTCGTTCCTGTAATAACCTGTTCTACTCCTAGCCTCGTTCCTGTAATAACCTGTTTCTACTCCTAGCCTCGTTCCTGTAATAACCTGTTATACTCCTAGCCTTGTTCCTGTAATAACCTGTTCTACTCCTAGCCTTGTTACTATAGTAACCTGTTCTACTCCTAGCCTCGTTCCTGTAATAACCTGTTCTACTACTAGCCTTGTTACTATAGTAACCTGTTCTACTCCTAACCTTGTTCCTGTAATAACCAGTTCTACTCCTAGCCTTGTTCCTGTAATAACCAGTTCTACTCCTAGCCTTGTTCCTGTAATAACCTGTTCTACTCCTAGCCTCGTTCCTGTAATAACCTGTTCTACTCCTAGCCTCGTTCCTGTAATAACCTGTTCTACTCCTAGCCTTGTTCCTGTAGTAACCTGTTCTACTCCTAGCCTCGTTCCTGTAATAACCTGTTAAACTCCTAGCCTCGTTCCTGTAATAACCTGTTCTACTCCTAGCCTCGTTCCTGTAATAACCTGTTCTACTCCTAGCCTCGTTCCTGTAATAGCCTGTTCTACTCCTAGCCTTGTTCCTGTAATAACCTGTTCTACTCCTAGCCTCGTTACTATAGTAACCTGTTCTACTCCTAGCCTCGTTACTATAGTAACCTGCTCTACTCCTAGCCTCGTTCCTGTAGTAACCTGTTCTACTCCTAGCCTTGTTACTATAGTAACCTGTTCTACTCCTAGCCTTGTTCCTGTAGTAACCTGTTCTACTCCTAGCCTTGTTCCTGTAGTAACCTGTTCTACTCCTAGCCTTGTTCCTGTAATAACCTGTTCTACTCCTAGCCTTGTTCCTGTAATAACCTGTTCTACTCCTAGCCTTGTTCCTGTAATAACCTGTTCTACTCCTAGCCTTGTTCCTGTAATAACCTGTTCTACTCCTAGCCTTGTTCCTGTAATAACCTGTTCTACTCCTAGCCTTGTTTCTGTAATAACCTGTTCTACTCCTAGCCTTGTTCCTGTAATAACCAGTTCTACTCCTAGCCTCGTTCCTGTAATAACCTGTTCTACTCCTAGCCTTGTTCCTGTAATAACCTGTTCTACTCCTAGCCTCGTTCCTGTAAATAACCTGTTCTACTCCTAGCCTTGTTCCTGTAGTAACCTGTTCTACTCCTAGCCTTGTTCCTGTAATAACCTGTTCTACTCCTAGCCTTGTTCCTGTAGTAACCTGTTCTACTCCTAGCCTTGTTCCTGTAGTAACCTGTTCTACTCCTAGCCTTGTTCCTGTAGTAACCTGTTCTACTCCTAGCCTTGTTCCTGTAATAACCTGTTCTACTCCTAGCCTTGTTCCTGTAATAACCTGTTCTACTCCTAGCCTTGTTCCTGTAATAACCTGTTCCACTCCTAGCCTTGTTCCTGTAATAACCTGTTCTACTCCTAGCCTTGTTCCTGTAATAACCTGTTCTACTCCTAGCCTTGTTCCTGTAATAACCTGTTCTACTCTTAGCCTCGTTCCTGTATTAATATTTATATTAACATTTTAGTCATTTAGCAGATGCTCTTATCCAGAGCGACTTACAGTTAGTGAGTGCATACATTTTTCATACTGGCCCCCCGTGGGAATCGAACCCACAACCCTGGCGTTGCAAGCGCCATGCTCTACCAACTGAGCTACAGGAGGGCTTATGTGGTTTGATTGATTTTCAGAGTCTGCATCCCAAATGAAACCCTATGCCAAGGGTAAAACTTTTCTTGCCCAGACAAACCGGCGACCCAGAAAACCCCATCATATGCAAAAAAATGATCAGGTGAATAATAAATGGAAAGGAGGTAAAAACAACAAAAAATGATAGATTTGGTAGATATTAATTTGACCTCCCCAGTTTATAATTGGAAGAGGAAGTGGAAACTCTAACATAGCCTGTTAGCTATTAAGGTAACTCCAAACACATTTTCTGCTAAACTGTATGTCCAAGTCAAGAAAGCTTACCAGTAGCCATAGGCACTTCCCCCAGTAGCCATAGGTACTTCCCCCAGTAGCCATAGGTACTTCCCCCAGTAGCCATAGGCACTTCCCCCAGTAGCCATAGGTACTTCCCCCAGTAGCCATAGGTACTTCCCCCAGTAGCCATAGGCACTTCCCCCAGTAGCCATAGGTACTTCCCCCAGTAGCCATAGGCACTTCCCCCAGTAGCCATAGGCACTTCCCCCAGTAGCCATAGGCACTTCCCCCAGTAGCCATAGGCACTTCCCCCAGTAGCCATAGGTACTTCCCCCAGTAGCCATAGGTACTTCCCCCAGTAGCCATAGGCACTTCCCCCAGTAGCCATAGGCACTTCCCCCAGTAGCCATAGGCACTTCCCCCAGTAGCCATAGGTACTTCCCCAGTAGCCATAGGCACTTCCCCCAGTAGCCATAGGCACTTCCCCCAGTAGCCATAGGTACTTCCCCCAGTAGCCATAGGCACTTCCCCCAGTAGCCATAGGCACTTCCCCCAGTAGCCATAGGCACTTCCCCCAGTAGCCATAGGCACTTCCCCCAGTAGCCATAGGCACTTCCCCCAGTAGCCATAGGCACTTCCCCCAGTAGCCATAGGCACTTCCCCCAGTAGCCATAGGCACTTCCCCCAGTAGCCATAGGCACTTCCCCCAGTAGCCATAGGCACTTCCCCCAGTAGCCATAGGCACTTCCCCCCAGTAGCCATAGGCACTTCCCCCAGTAGCCATAGGCACTTCCCCCAGTAGCCATAGGCACTTCCCCCAGTAGCCATAGGCACTTCCCCCAGTAGCCATAGGCACTTCCCCCAGTAGCCATAGGCACTTCCCCCAGTAGCCATAGGCACTTCCCCCAGTAGCCATAGGTACTTCCCCCAGTAGCCATAGGTACTTCCCCCAGTAGCCATAGGCACTTCCCCCAGTAGCCATAGGCACTTCCCCCAGTAGCCATAGGCACTTCCCCCAGTAGCCATTTCAGATTTACACAAAGAGGTTGGCACTGAATAAGGTTCAGTTGTCTACAGTCCACAACATCTTCACCGCTGGTCTGCTGTCCAATACAAACCTCATGGGAAACTGGTAGCACCTTTGGCTTGACCATAGATACACTTTAAAACACATTAAGCCAATGTCCAGCACTTAAAAACTAAAAATAAAACACAGGCCTACTTTTAAAAGAGAACACTTCAAATGGAATGTGGCCCTAGAAAGCCAAAGAACAGGATCCTTAAACTAAATCAACTGATCCTGCATCTTTGCCTGTGCTACAAACTTCTTGAGTCTAGTGGATGTCACAACCTGTTCTACTCCTAGCCTTGTTCTCAAGCTCCTAGCCTCGTTCCTGTAATAACCTGTTCTACTCCTAGCCTTGTTCCTGTAATAACCTGTTCTACTCCTAGCCTTGTTCCTGTAATAACCTGTTCTACTCCTAGCCTTGTTCCTGTAATAACCTGTTCTACTCCTAGCCTTGTTCCTGTAATAACCTGTTCTACTCCTAGCCTCGTTCCTGTAATAACCTGTTCTACTCCTAGCCTCGTTCCTGTAATAACCTGTTCTACTCCTAGCCTCGTTCCTGTAATAACCTGTTCTACTCCTAGCCTTGTTCCTGTAATAACCTGTTCTACTCCTAGCCTTGTTACTATAGTAACCTGTTCTACTCCTAGCCTCGTTCCTGTAATAACCTGTTCTACTACTAGCCTTGTTACTATAGTAACCTGTTCTACTCCTAACCTTGTTCCTGTAATAACCAGTTCTACTCCTAGCCTTGTTCCTGTAATAACCAGTTCTACTCCTAGCCTTGTTCCTGTAGTAACCTGTTCTACTCCTAGCCTCGTTCCTGTAATAACCTGTTCTACTCCTAGCCTCGTTCCTGTAATAACCTGTTCTACTCCTAGCCTCGTTCCTGTAATAGCCTGTTCTACTCCTAGCCTTGTTCCTGTAATAACCTGTTCTACTCCTAGCCTCGTTACTATAGTAACCTGTTCTACTCCTAGCCTCGTTACTATAGTAACCTGTTCTACTCCTAGCCTCGTTCCTGTAGTAACCTGTTCTACTCCTAGCCTTGTTACTATAGTAACCTGTTCTACTCCTAGCCTTGTTCCTGTAGTAACCTGTTCTACTCCTAGCCTTGTTCCTGTAGTAACCTGTTCTACTCCTAGCCTTGTTCCTGTAATAACCTGTTCTACTCCTAGCCTTGTTCCTGTAATAACCTGTTCTACTCCTAGCCTTGTTCCTGTAATAACCTGTTCTACTCCTAGCCTTGTTCCTGTAATAACCTGTTCTACTCCTAGCCTTGTTCCTGTAATAACCTGTTCTACTCCTAGCCTTGTTTCTGTAATAACCTGTTCTACTCCTAGCCTTGTTCCTGTAATAACCAGTTCTACTCCTAGCCTCGTTCCTGTAATAACCTGTTCTACTCCTAGCCTTGTTCCTGTAATAACCTGTTCTACTCCTAGCCTCGTTCCTGTAAATAACCTGTTCTACTCCTAGCCTTGTTCCTGTAGTAACCTGTTCTACTCCTAGCCTTGTTCCTGTAATAACCTGTTCTACTCCTAGCCTTGTTCCTGTAGTAACCTGTTCTACTCCTAGCCTTGTTCCTGTAGTAACCTGTTCTACTCCTAGCCTTGTTCCTGTAGTAACCTGTTCTACTCCTAGCCTTGTTCCTGTAATAACCTGTTCTACTCCTAGCCTTGTTCCTGTAATAACCTGTTCTACTCCTAGCCTTGTTCCTGTAATAACCTGTTCCACTCCTAGCCTTGTTCCTGTAATAACCTGTTCTACTCCTAGCCTCGTTCCTGTAATAACCTGTTCTACTCCTAGCCTTGTTCCTGTAATAACCTGTTCTACTCCTAGCCTCGTTCCTGTAATAACCTGTTCTACTCCTAGCCTTGTTCCTGTAGTAACCTGTTCTACTCCTAGCCTTGTTCCTGTAGTAACCTGTTCTACTCCTAGCCTTGTTCCTGTAATAACCTGTTCTACTCCTAGCCTTGTTCCTGTAATAACCTGTTCTACTCCTAGCCTTGTTCCTGTAATAACCTGTTCTACTCCTAGCCTTGTTCCTGTAATAACCTGTTCTACTCCTAGCCTTGTTCCTGTAATAACCTGTTCTACTCCTAGCCTTGTTCCTGTAATAACCTGTTCTACTCCTTGTGAGGATGAATAATAGCCTGCTCTACAGGCTGCTATACTCACAGAATCCAACAACTTTCTGATGTGTCACTTGTCATATTGAATGATGGCATTTCCCCTTGGGCACACACACACACACACACACGATGAGTTTTAAATCCCAACCGGGGAGAGTGACACTCAAAGGAGTGTTGTTGGAACACATCACCACAATGCCCAAGACTGCAGCAGCACTACACCATATCCACCCACACGGCCTGTCCGTCACGCCCTGTCCGTCACGCCCTGTCCGTCACGCCCTGTCCGTCACGGCCTGTCCGTCACGCTCTGTCCGTCACGCTCTGTCCGTCACGCTCTGTCCGTCACGCTCTGTCCGTCACGCTCTGTCCGTCACGCCCTGTCCCGTCACGCCCTGTCCGTCACGCCCTGTCCGTCACGGCCTGTCCGTCACGCCTGTCCGTCACGCCCTGTCCGTCACGCCCTGGTCCCCCTTCCGTCACGCCCTGTCCGTCACGCCCTGTCCGTCACGCCCTGTCCGTCACGGCCTGTCCGTCACGCTCTGTCCGTCACGCCTGTCCGTCACGCCCTGTCCGTCACGCCCTGTCCGTCACGCCCTGTCCGTCACGCCCTGTCCGTCACGCCCTGTCCGTCACGCCCTGTCCGTCACGCCCTGTCCGTCACGCCCTGTCCGTCACGCCCTGTCCGTCACGCCCTGTCCGTCACGCCCTGTCCGTCACGCCCTTGTCCGTCACGGCCCTGTCCGTCACGCCACTGTCCGTCACGGCCCTGTCCGTCACGCCTTGTCCGTCACGCCCTGTCCGTCAACGCCCTGTCCGTCACGCCTGTCCGTCACGCCCCTGTCCGTCACGGCCCTGTCCGTCACGCCCCTGTCCGTCACGGCCCTGTCCGTCACGCTCTGTTCCGTCACGCCCTGTCCAGTCACGATCTGTCCGTCACGCCCTGGTCCGTCACGCTCTGTCCCGTCACGCCTGTCCGTCACGCCCTGTCCGTCACGCCCTGTCCGTCACGCCCTGTCCGTCACGGCCTGTCCGTCAACGCCCTGTCCGTCACGCCTGTCCGTCACGCTCTGTCCGTCACGCTCTGTCCGTCACGCTCTGTCCGTCACGCCCTGTCCGTCACGCCTGTCCGTCACGCCCTGTCCGTCACGGCCCTGTCCGTCACGGCTCTGTCCGTCACGCCTGTCCGTCACGCCTGTCCGTCACGCCCTGTCCGTCACGCCCTGTCCGTCACGCCCTGTCCGTCACGGCCTGTCCGTCACGCTCTGTCCGTCACGCCCTGTCCGTCACGCCCTGTCCGTCACGCCCTGTCCGTCACGCCCTGTCCGTCACGCCCTGTCCGTCACGGCCTGTCCGTCACGCTCTGTCCGTCACGCTCTGTCCGTCACGCCCTGTCCGTCACGCCCTGTCCGTCACGGCCTGTCCGTCACGCTCTGTCCGTCACGCTCTGTCCGTCACGGCCTGTCCGTCACGCCCTGTCCGTCACGCCCTGTCCGTCACGGCCTGTCCGTCACGCTCTGTCCGTCACGCTCTGTCCGTCACGCTCTGTCCGTCACGCCCTGTCCGTCACGGCCTGTCCGTCACGCTCTGTCCGTCACGCTCTGTCCGTCACGCCCTGTCCGTCACGCCCTGTCCGTCACGCCCTGTCCGTCACGCCCTGTCCGTCACGCCCTGTCCGTCACGCCCTGTCCACAGAGTATTTACAACTGGATACCATCTACACAGAAAAATACAGTAAGTCACAATAACTGGCCCTAGATCAGTCAGATCCACTCCAATCATAATCCAATCTAGATCCTGTTAACAGTGGGATCTGATCCATAATCAGCTGCTGTGACAATCAAGTCAAAGTTGTCTCCAATCCCCACCTATCCCTTTACACTCAGACCTTTTCTCTTCAGAAGGACTGTTATAGAAGAGGGCTAGAGATCTGCCAAACATGTCTCTCTAGCCCTCCATCTCGCCTGACACTGAATCCTGGCCTCCTATTGGCTGCTAAAGACAGCTAGCTCACCTCTGACCAATCAACAGAGCAGATTATCCAGATTGGGCGGGTGTTATGGGGTGTCGCTCCCTGAGACAACACACAGGCTATGATCAGACAGCCTTCAGGGGCTTAGCAGTGATCTTTAGTGTCACACACACACCGTACTGTACACAGCTGGTGCATGAGAAGTGTATAACAGAAGCATTTGGTCTGAAGGGCCTGGTCACCAAACACAGGAGACAGGTATGTAATCACACTAAACCTCTAGCTATGCAGATAAGGAACTAAGTCTCATCACGACCCACAGAGTGACACCCAGCAGTTACCCTACACAGGCAGAGCGGAGGAGCTGGACGAATGTATTGTAACTGTGCAACGAGACATACTTCCTGTCTCTGTCAGCACACACACACACACACACACACACACACAGACAGAAAGCCTCAGGGTCTCAGCTGAATGCACAAGCCCAAAGAAAGCCTCAGGGTCTCAGCTGAATGCACAAGGCCCTTATCATTGACAGACAGCTGCTACTCATCACAGCACATTAGACAGACAGACAGTTTATTATACTGTATCCACTGATACATTTTACATTTACATTTAGGTCATTTAGCAGACGCTCTTATCCAGAGCCACTTACAGTTAGTGAATGCATACATGGTTTTTTTCATACTGGCCCCCCGTGGGAAACGAACCCACATCCCTGCCGGCCAAACCCTCCCTTACCTTGGACGACGCTGGACCAATTGTGCGCCGCCCATGGGTCTCCCGGTCGCGGCCGGCTGCGACAGAGCCTGGACTCGAACCAGGATCTCTAGTGGCACAGCTAGCACTGCGATGCAGTGCCTTAGACCACTGCGCCACTCGGGAGTCTGATAGATGAGCCTTCACACCGTCTGACTCCATAAGTTACAGAGTCAAACTACAGCTGCAGCCTTCACTGCTCCTGGATCAGTTATTCTAAGGTCCTGTTGGGATAGTTTCAAAACGCATCCTAAAAGAGTCATGTCCTAGAGAGGGACTTACTCTGGCGAGTTGAGGTTGAGTCCTAGCGTTGTCAGGTCACTGCCCAGTGCTAGGTGCACCATGCCTGGGTCTGTCTCCGCTGCCCTGATGAACGTTAACAAGCCAATCATCCCGAACTGGTCTGTTACCATACCCCCGGGAATGTTGGTCACACGACCTGGAGGGGAGGAGGAGGAGGAGAGGGAAGAGCAATGAGGAGTGTGTTTGAGCCCGTCTATTAACTACAGGAATGAGTGTTGAACTTTGACCTTGGTGCCCGGCTGATATGGATAAAATCATCAGGTTACATTTTTCTTGACCACATGACCTGACCATGGAAAAGTCTTAGTTAAAAAGTTTCAAAGTTTCAAGTTTTAATGTCACATGCACAAGTACAGTGAAATGCCTTCTTACAGCTTTAAACCCAACGATGCAGTAATCAATATCAATGTATTACTAGAAGAAAAGACACCTGAAATATGAAATACACAATAAAGTAATTAAGTAAGCAAGCACACTATATATAGGAAATCTTTTTTTAAAGTGGCTTGGAGCTCGGCCCCAGTGATGTACTGGGCTGTCCCCACAACCCTCTGTAGCACCATGCGATCCAGGGCGGTGCTGTTGCCATACCAAGCAGTGATGCAGCCAGTCAAGATGCTCTCTGAGGATCTGAGGGGCCCATGCCAGACTTTTTCAACCTCCTGAGGGGGAAGAGGCACTGTCGCACCTTCTTCACGACTGTGCGTGTGGACCATTTTAAGTCTTCGTGATTTGGACACTGAGGAACTTGAGGCTGTCTACCTGCTCCACTGCCGCCCCGTCGATGTGGGTGGTGGCGTGCTCGCCCCCCCCACCCCGTTTCCTGTAGTCCACAATCAGCTCCTTGGTCTTTCTGATGTTGAGGGAGAGGTTGTTGTCCTGGCACCACACTGCCAAGTCACTGACCTCCTCCCTGTAGTCTGACTCATCATCGCCGGTGATCAGGCCTACCACCGTCGCATCGTCAGCTAACGTAATGGTGTTGGAGTCGTGCATGGCCACACAGTCGTGGGATAACAGGGAGTACAGGAGGGGACTAAGCACACACCCCTGTGGGGCCCCTGTGTTGAGGGTCAGCATGGCGGAGGTGATGCTGCCTACCCTCACCACCTGGGGTCGGCCCGTCAGGAAGTCCAGGATCCAGTTGAAGGGGGAGGTGTTCAGACCCAGAATCCTAAGCTTAGCGACAAGCTTGAAGGGGACTATTGTGTTGAACGCTGAGCTGTAATCAATGAACAGCATTTTCACATAGGTATCCCTCTTATCTAGGTGGGTGAGGGCAGTGAGGAGAGCAATTGAGATTGCGTCATCTATGGATACGTTGGGGCGGTATGCACATTGGAGTGGGTCTAGGGTGGCTGGGATGGTGGAGTTAATGTGTGTCATAACCAGCTTCTCAAAGCACTTCATGATTACAGAAGAGAGTGCTGCAGGGCGGTAGTTATTGTGGCATGAAGCCTTAGAGTTCTTAGGAACAGGGATGATTGTGGTCATCTAAAAACATGTGGTGATTACAGACTGGTCCAAGGAGCGTGTGAAAATGACTGTGAATATGCCTGCCAGCTGTTCTGCGCATACTCTGAGAACGCGCCCTGGAATACCGTCAGGGCCCGCGGCCTTGTGGGTGTTGACCTGATTAAAAGACCCTTCTCACGTCGGCCTCAGAGAGCGAGATCACCCAATCCCCTGGGTCGGTGACGGCCCTCACACCCGGCTCGATGTTGTTGTCAAAGCATGTATAAAATGCATTGAGATCGTCTGATAGAGGCATCGTTCGGCAGATCACGGCTGGGTCTTCCTTTGTGATCTGTAATGGACTGTAGCCCCTGCCACATGCAGCGGGCATCGGCGCCTGTGTAATATGATTCCACCTTATTCCTATATTGTCCTTTTGCTCATTTGATGACTCTGCGGAGGTCATAGCGGGACTTCTTGTACTTATTCCTGTCCTCGGCCGTAGCATCAGGGTTGTGTACGATAGCTCTGTGTGCGGTAGTCCTGCTCTTTAGTTTAGCGCCAACCTCTGTGTTAATCCAGGGCTTTTGATTGGAGAAGCAGCGAACCCTCACCGTGGGTACAATGTTGCTGATGCATTTTCGAATGAAGTTAGACTATAGCGGTCTTCCTAGAGGTCTTCCAAGTCAGGTCCTAGTTATCAACTATAGAGGTCTTCCTAGTCAGGTCCTAGTTGGGTCCTAGTTCTCAACTATAGAGGTCTTCCTACAGGTCCTTCCTAGTTATCAACTATAGAGGTCTTCCCTAGTTTGGGAGGAAACTTACAGAGAGTCTTCAGTCCAATATAGAGGTCTTCCTAGTCAGGTCCTAGTTATCAACTATAGAGGTCTTCCTAGTCAGGTCCTAGTTATCAACTATAGGAGGTCTTCCTAGTGAGGTCCAGTTATCACTATAGAGTTTCTAGAGGTTTTAGTTCTAACTTAGAGGTCTTGCCTATCGGTCAGGTATCACTATAGAGGTCTCTGTCAGTCTAGTTTGACTGAGAGGTCTTTAGGCTTCTAGTTATCAGACGAGAGAGGTTTAGATTTCCTAGTTAAACAGAGAGGTCCTAGGAGAGGTCTTAGTATCAATATGAGAGGGCAGAAGGTAGTTCACTATAGAGTTTCCTGAAGTAAGAGGACAGGTCTAGTCTAATATAAGAAGGTCTAGATTCTGGAGAGAGATCAGGAAGAGAAGAGGTTTAGATTCAGACTAAGACGAGAAGGCTTAGTTCGGAGAGCGAGACAGGATCGAGTTAAAGCGTTAGAGTTCTCGGAGAGGAGTACAAGAAGAGAGAAGCGTTTAGATTCTGAGAGAGAGACAGGAGAGAGATAGAGGTTTAGATCTGGAAGAGAGAGAGCTAGTAGGAGCAGGAGATCGAGAGAGACAGGAAGAGAGGTCGTAGTTGGTGAGAGCGGTTTGACAGGTTGGAGAGAGAGACAGGAAGGAGAGAGAAGAGTAGATCGGAGAGAGCCGGACACGAGAAGAGCGTTTAGATCTTGGCGGAAGAGACAGTGACGGAAGGGTTTAGATTCTGGAGAGAGAGACAGGGAGAGAAGAAGGGTTTAGATTCTGGAGAGAGAGACAGGAAGAGAAGAAGGGTTTAGATTCTGGAGAGAGAGACAGGAAGAGAAGAAGGGTTTAGATTATGGAGAGAGAGACGGAGAGAAGAAGGAGTTTAGATTCTGGAGAGAGAGACAGGAAGAGAAGAAGCGTTTAGATTCTGGAGAGGGAGGAAGAACCCCATTAGAGTCCTAGTATGTTTCCCAGTGCGGTGGCTCTCCTCCGAACACTAAAGACACAGTACACTTCTGAGCGGTCTTCACTAAACTGAATTGCTCCCTGTGGGATAAATAGAAGTACACTTCTTCAGAACAGAAAAAGAAAGACAGGGAAACTAACACTGGCTTCATTAAACAGCCCTCCTACAATGGATTTTAGAACCCACATCGATAGTAAACAACAGTTCACAACTCCCTCATCCTTCTCCCCCCTCAATCCATTAGAGATGCTGTTTCATTGACCGTGTTGATTCCCCCAGCAGCCCTCTACCCCCTGCTACTAGAACACATTTCCCTGCAACATGAATCAATAATAAGTTCATTTGCCCTAGTTTTGTTTGAGGTCTCTCTACCCATTGACGAAGCCTCAGAGCTGAGCAACATTAAATCAGACTCACACAGACTCTGATCAACTCCATTCAGGGGGAATAACACCAAACGGACCTTATATCGATGTCTAGGGTAGTAAGTTCGTCCTAGAGATGAAAGACTCACCGTTTTGCTGTCGTCGTTGTTCGACGTGGTGTCCTTGTAGTTGGGACCAGGCAGTGCAGGGAAGTCCTCGTTGTGGATGGAGAAGTCTTGGGACTGTTCGTTTGACGGTTTGGTGACCATTCCAACTGCAGTACAGGAGGAGAGGATGGACAGGTTCTAGCTCAGGTAAATACAGGGACAACGGACGGACAATAGATTTTCACTCTGGAAGACAATGATCAATATCACTGCATCCCAGCAACCCAGAAGCAAAGGTACATTTTTTATTTTTTCACACAGACCGGGACACGCACACACGCACTCTCTCTCTCTCCCTCCATAGAGAGCCGTCCCAGCCAGTGGGAGGAGAAGAGGAGTGGGGTTAGGGTGTCTCACCATAAGGGGCCCTCCCAGCCAGTGGGTTGAGAAGAGAGTAGGGTTCCCACCTCCTTCCCTCCGACTCCGGTCTGCTAACGCTGGGAAGTCTGACAGGTCCAGGCCCGTCACGTTTTCACTCCCGTCTATAGCAGGGAGGAGACACAGGACAAGGGAACAGTTAGTCAAGTCACGGCCCAATTTATTTTAAAAAGCATTTCGGTGTCTCACACTTACAGAAAAGACTAGCTGTTAAAGAGCCTCATGGCAACCCTCTTGCTAGTCCATCCGTTACAGAAACAAACCGCAAACCTCTGCTTTACAAAACAATTTTCTAATTACAAAATGTTTTAATGACTTTGTCATCAATGAAGGAGGGTATCAATCAATCAGACAGCCAATCAATGTCTTGAACATCACCTGTTCCATTGAAGATGTTGCTCGATAACGAATTGTTCATCCCGAACGACGGATTCCTGTTCATTCCAAACCCTGACATACTGAAACACAGAGACACCATTTCAGTCTGACTTCAATTTTACATTTTACTCATTCAGCAGATGCTCTTATCCTGGGCGTTTTACAAACATTGACATACTGAAACAACATGGAGAGACACACACTCACCATTTCAATTTAATTCCTGTTTCAATTTGACAAGTCTGAACAAACCATACAATATAGAAAAGTCCCTAAAAAGTCCAAAACCAAGCTATTAGAACCCCCATAACACCCTAAGGCAGTCCTAGGTACCGGCTGATATAATGACACAGCAGCCTAGTAATAATGGGTACAGCCGGCACCCGACCAGCTTCCATTACCGAGCACCACGGTCATTACATGGTCTGACTCTGTACCCAGCTAAAGGTCATCGCTCCCTGTTTCAAGGCTAATTTAATCTCATTGATCAGACTAATAACACACATTTAATAGCACTCTGTCTGGCAGAGCTTGACATAGGGGAAAAAAAAAACTAAAAAAAATAGCAGTCCTCCATGTTTGCCTTTGAATGCAGATGGGTCAGGCCAAAGTGAAGACCTGTAAAGGACTGTATTCTCAGAGTCTCAAGAGGTGCGGATCTAGGATCACTGTAATTGTGATATAAAAGGCTAAACTGATCCTAGTTCAGCACTCCCACCCTGAGACACTGGTTGCTGTAATCCTACAACAGAGATTGAGGAAGTCTCCTCTGGCTAAATGACTACCGTGTTGCATCAGGAGGGAGAGACGCGTTACAAAAGTGCACACTGTTTTCTAATGCGTAAATGGTGTTTGCGCAACTGTGAAGAGTGCCTTTCAAAACATCCCCACTGCCCATGCCAAATGGGAATCTGTAGGCCAACCAGGTTCTTCAAAACAGCCCTTTCATTCAATGAAACCCTCGACCTTGGGCTTCATAGAAAATCCTTATTAATGCAATGGACTGATCCTAATGGGTAAGCTAGACAGATACATTGTAGAAAATATATATGACTACCACACATACGGTTTAGATACAGATATACATTTATGTATGTATCTATTGTTGTTGTCATATAACATATTCGCAAGGCATCTCCATGGAGACAGAACAGTGGTGGACTACTTCATCTGTACTGTGAGGACTAATTAGCTCCACTATGGAAGAATCACAGAGATGACAGGAGAGAAAGAGAAAATTAGGGGAAGAGGGAGAGGAGAGGGAGAGGGGAGAGGGAAGGAGGGGAGGGAGAGGAGAGGGAGAGGGGGAGAGGGAATGAGGGGAGGGGAGAGGAGAGGAGGGGGAGAGGAGAGAGGGTGGGGTTTGGGAGAGGGAGAGGGGAGGGAGAGGGTGGGGTTTTGGGGAGAGGGAGAGGGGAGGTAGAGGGAGGGGGTTTTTTGGGGAGGGGAGAGGAGAGATAAAGCGTGAGAAGCGAGGCGGTGAATGAGGCGTGCCTGTTTTTGCATTTAAACTGCCCTTACTCATACCTCTTCCCTCTCCTGCTCTCTTCCCTCGCCCTCCTTCCCTCCTTCCTCTTCCCTCCTTCCTCTTCCCTCGCCCTCCTTCCCTCCTTCCTCTTCCCTCCTTCCTCTTCCCTCACCCTACTTCCTCACCCTCCTTCCTCTTCTCTCGCCCTCCCCTCTTCTCTCTGTGCAGAGTTCTTAATCATCACAGCTTGTGTGTGTTTCCCCAAGGCAGTAAACAGTGAAACGCTTGTCGCTCCTGACAGACGGACTCACACTATTAATGTCCTTAGAGTACAACAAACAAACAGTCTCCTTTCAGCCACAGAGTGCATCAATCACTTCATAGGACAAGAGAATAGTAAGTCCATCAACCATTTTGATTGAGACTCAGACTACTTGATACACTAGACTAGCGACTATGAGAACAATAAAGTATCTATCCTTTTAAATACCCCACAGGGGATGTACAAGTTCACACTTCAGGGAAGAAGAGGAGATGGGCTCTTGTGCTGTTGTGGCTAAACCGGTGATAATGTTTGTCTTTATTCCATGGAACCAAAAGGTTTGACTGGCTTCTATACCATGTCTTTATACTGCAGTAGGGAGGTAAAAGGTTTGACTGGCTTCTATACCATGTCTTTATACTGTAGTAGGGAGGTAAAAGGTTTGACTGGCTTCTATACCATGTCTTTATACTGTAGTAGGGAGGTAAAAGGTTTGACTGGCTTCTATACCATGTCTTTATACTGTAGTAGGGAGGTAAAAGGTTTGACTGGCTTCTATACCATGTCTTTATACTGCAGTAGGGAGGTAAAAGGTTTGACTGGCTTCTATACCATGTCTTTATACTGCAGTAGGGAGGTAAAAGGTTTGACTGGCTTCTATACCATGTCTTTATACTGCAGTAGGGAGGTAAAAGGTTTGACTGGCTTCTATACCATGTCTTTATACTGTGTAGGGAGGTAAAAGTTTGACTGCTTCTATACCATGTCTTTATACTGTAGTAGGGAGGTAAAAGGTTTGACTGGCTTCTATACCATGTCTTTATACTGTAGTAGGGAGGTAAAAGGTTTGACTGGCTTCTATACCATGTCTTTATACTGTAGTAGGGAGGTAAAAGGTTTGACTGGCTTCTATACCATGTCTTTATACTGTAGTAGGGAGGTTAAAAGGTTTGACTGGCTTCTATACCATGTCTTTATACTGTATACCATGTCTTTATACTGCAGTAGGGAGGTAAAAGGTTGAACTGGGCTTCTATACCATGTCTTTATACTGCCAGTAGGGAGGAAAAAGGTTTGACTGGCTTCTATACCATGTCTTTATACTGCAGTAGGGAGGTAAAAGGTTTTGACTGGCTTCTATACCATGTCTTTATACTGCAGTAGGGAGGTAAAAGGTTTGACTGGCTTCTATACCATGTCCTTTATACTGTAGTAGGGAGGTAAAAGGTTTGACTGGCGTCTATACCATGTCTTTATACTGTAAGTAGGGAGGTAAAAGGTTTGACTGGCTTCTATACCATGTCTTTATACTGTAGTAGGGAGGTAAAAGGTTTGACTGGCTTCTATACATGTCTTTATACTGCAGTAGGGAGGTAAAAGGTTTGACTGGCTTCTATACCATGTCTTTATACTGTAGTAGGGAGGTAAAAGGTTTGACTGGCTTCTATACCATGTCCTTTATACTGTAGTAGGGAGGTAAAGGTTTGACTGGCTTCTATACCATGTCTTTATACTGTAGTAGGGAGGTAAAAGGTTTGACTGGCTTCTATACCATGTCTTTATACTGTAGTAGGGAGGTAAAAGGTTTGACTGGCTTCTATACCATGTCTTTATACTGTAGTAGGGAGGTAAAAGGTTTGACTGGCTTCTATACCATGTCTTTATACTGTAGTAGGGAGGTAAAAGGTTTGACTGGCTTCTATACCATGTCTTTATACTGTAGTAGGGAGGTAAAAGGTTTGACTGGCTTCTATACCATGTCTTTATACTGTAGTAGGGAGGTAAAAGGTTTGACTGGCTTCTATACCATGTCTTTATACTGCAGTAGGGAGGTAAAAGGTTTGACTGGCTTCTATACCATTCCTTTATACTGTAGTAGGGAGGTAAAAGGTTTGACTGGCTTCTATACCATGTCTTTATACTGTAGTAGGGAGGTAAAAGGTTTGACTGGCTTCTATACCATGTCTTTATACTGTAGTAGGGAGGTAAAAGGTTTGACTGGCTTCTATACCATGTCTTTATACTGTAGTAGGGAGGTAAAAGGTTTGACTGGCTTCTATACCATGTCTTTATACTGTAGTAGGGAGGTAAAAGGTTTGACTGGCTTCTATACCATGTCTTTATACTGTAGTAGGGAGGTAAAAGGTTTGACTGGCTTCTATACCATGTCTTTATACTGTAGTAGGGAGGTAAAAGGTTTGACTGGCTTCTATACCATGTCTTTATACTGTAGTAGGGAGGTAAAAGGTTTGACTGGCTTCTATACCATGTCTTTATACTGTAGTAGGGAGGTAAAAGGTTTGACTGGCTTCTATACCATGTCTTTATACTGTAGTAGGGAGGTAAAAGGTTTGACTGGCTTCTATACCATGTCTTTATACTGCAGTAGGGAGGTAAAAGGTTTGACTGGCTTCTATACCATGTCTTTATACTGTAGTAGGGAGGTAAAAGGTTTGACTGGCTTCTATACCATGTCTTTATACTGCAGTAGGGAGGTAAAAGGTTTGACTGGCTTCTATACCATGTCTTTATACTGTAGTAGGGAGGTAAAAGGTTTGACTGGCTTCTATACCATGTCTTTATACTGCAGTAGGGAGGTAAAAGGTTTGACTGGCTTCTATACCATGTCTTTATACTGTAGTAGGGAGGTAAAAGGTTTGACTGGCTTCTATACCATGTCTTTATACTGCAGTAGGGAGGTAAAAGGTTTGACTGGCTTCTATACCATGTCTTTATACTGTAGTAGGGAGGTAAAAGGTTTGACTGGCTTCTATACCATGTCTTTATACTGTAGTAGGGAGGTAAAAGGTTTGACTGGCTTCTATACCATGTCTTTATACTGTAGTTATCTCACCTGTTCAAAGTTTGCCTTTATTATATGTAGCCAACAGGTCTTCATGGTTTCTATATCCTGTCTTTACAATGTTCAATACATCACCCAATGATAACGTTTTGCCTTCATTCTAGTGTTACCCGTTGATGGTGAAGGGTTGGCGGGACTGCTGTTGCTTGGGCATGCAGATGATGCTTGGAGAGGCGCGGTTGGGGCTGCCCAGGCCCGAGCTGCCCATGCTGTTGGTCCTGCCCCCACTGGGCATGCCCCCCACCATGACCTCCTGGCGCCCCACCTGCTGAGAGGGGTTCATCATGTTCCGCGTGTTCATGGGCAGGATGCCCCTGTAGTGGAGAGAGAGAGAGAGAGAGAGGGGAGGTGGTATCTCAGACACATGGATGTGATCAGGGTGACGTGAAAAGCACGCCAGAGAAAAAGAGAATGGAATAAGAATTGCTTTTAAATTAGGCATGATGGGTAATATTTACCTACTCAACAACTAACAGTCACAACCCCATATGTAGCAGCTTATCTGGGTGCTACTAGCTCCACTGCCATGAACAATATGATCATTTTGCCAAGCAAGCAACTTCTAATGCATCAATCAGCTGAATCAAGTTGGTAAAATCAGACATGCTGAGATGAATCCCCGAGCCAACTAGGTGACTAAAATGTGATGGTAAAGGCAGTACGTGGCCTATACGTGGAGGGGGTATACCTGCTTGGCGAGGGCGGAGTATGGAGGGACATTGTGGGGGCCACTCCGGTGGTTGCAGTGACGTGGCTCGGTAGCTGGTTGCCCTGTGTTAAGCTACGGTTCAACTGAGGAGTGTTGTTGCTCATACCCCTCATAGGGAACCCTAGGGCACCTGGACGTCACACAGGGGAGAAAGATGGTTAGAGTTGGAGCGATACAGGCTTGATTGACATGGTCAGCTATATTCCTTTACTAAGTAGACATCCACAGAGAGACAATGGGTTAGAGTTGGCGATAAACAGGCTTTGGATAGGTAAACTCTGAAGACCCTAGGCCATATTCCTTTAAAATACTTGGGAGAAACAGAGATGGAGTATTGACAACAGCTGACAGGAGAAGCCGATAGTGACTGTGACAACATGGAATGGGGCCTAAAACCCAGACGACTGTTTTTCTATTGAGCTGTGCATCAAGGTTGGGCTCAATGACACTTTCAACTCAGCCAATTCAAATCCACTTCCTGAACTGAACAGGATATAAAAATGGACCCCAATCCTTTTCTGTAGAACATTATGCCACAGGTCGGTCATATTAACCCAGCTAAAGGACCAGCGCAGTGGACGTTTTGTTACGTCCCAAATGGCACCCTATTCCCTATTAAGTGCACTACTTTTAACCCAGTGCTCTGTGGGCCCTGGTCAAAAGTAGTGCACTATATTGGGAATAGGGTGCCATTTGGGACTCAGTCGTTGTCTGTTCTGCTCTCTGTGGTGAAGCCATCCTCTGAGGGATCCATGGCAACAGCCCACACACCTGCCCACCTCTTCTTCTGCCCCTGAGATGGAACACCTAATGTAGTGCAGTGTAGTGTGTTTCAGATTAATGTGTAATGTACTGAATGCAGGCTAAACAGTGACTGAATGTAGGCTAAGCAGTGACTGAATGTAGGCTAAGTAATGGTCGAGTGCTCAAAGCCATGCATGGATGGTGTAGGGACAGCGGAGGAGCAGTGCTTACTTTGTGGCCCGTATAAACTGGCACCAAGCTGCGACAATTGACCTGACAACGATGGGGATGGAGATGCCAGCATCTGGAAGACAGGGAGCAGGAGATGCATGTTAGTGGAGGTTCATTCATTCACAATTGACCTGGGGGTTTCGGTCATCAAAGATCTTTTCCATTCACTTTACAAAGAAAGTAATCTGTTTGGTGGGATAAAATGGTATGTAATGTTAAATAAGCAGGCAGCAGTATGCTGCTGTTGTATGTCAGCATTCTGGATCATTCTTTTCTTGGCCCAGCATCTGTGTATCGGCTACATCCCGTACACTCTCCCAGTCAAACAACCAGGCCAATTGGCTCTACTAGTCTACTAGTAGGGGTGGAACGGTACACGTATTCCTACAGAACCGTTCGGTACGGGGACCTCGGTTTAGTCCGGACTGTGAACCCGAATAAAAAATATAAAAAATAAAAAAAACTAAGCCTATAGGCTATACCTACGCTGTGTTGTATGCCTCGAGTAAATACGAGCTGTAAAAACATTTCAGGCTATTCCGTTAAAACAACTAGAGCCTATATGCGCACGTTGTATTCAAAATTCAAATCTTTAAAATTGGTGCATTTCAAACTGTCGTTTTGGGAGGCGCAGCCGGGAACTAGTTCTGTACGATTGAGTGGTGGGGTCGATAAACCAGAAGGATTCTCCATCGTCGCTTAAATCTCCAGTTCGGGAACATTTTGGCTTCCCAGTTTTTTCTTAATCTCCCCTCGGTATTCAAGCAGTTGATTCTGACGGGGCCAAAGAAATGACAAGAGCGGTAGGTATGTTTATAGCCGCGGATACGCGCTCATTCTCGGTGGTTGAGAAGAATAAGGGGAATTCAGCGCCTTGTGAAAGTGCTCGAGCAACGTTACGAACTTCGCCCTGTCGCACTCATTTCAGCAAACAGGCAGTACCCGCTCTATATAAGCAGGCTACAGCTAAAGCTGTCAATGAATTGGCCAATGCACCCTGTGTTGCGCTGACTACAGTTGGACGGACCTCCAGGACTACAGAGCTATTTCCCCAAAGTAGGAGAAGACACGCCCCCTTTATGAGAGTCACACGTTTGCAAATTTTTTTCTCGTTGTAAGAAAACACTAAACAAAAATATAAAAACGCAACATGTAAAGTGTTGGTCCCATGTTTCATGAGCTGAAATAAAAGATCACAGACATTTTCCATAGGCACAAAAAGCTTATTTCGCTCAAATTTAAAAGAAGTGTGTTTATGTCCCTGTTAGTGAGCATTTCTCCTTAGCCAAGATAATCCATCCACCTGACAGGTGTGGCATATCAAGAAGTTGATTAAACAGCATGATCATTACACAGGTGCTGGGGACAATACAAGGCCATTAAAATGTGCAGTTGTGTCACACAACACAATGCCACAGATGTCTCAAGTTGAGGGAGCGCGCAATTGGAATGCAGAAATGTCCACCAGAGCTGCTGCCAGAGAATTGAATGCTCATTTCTCTACCATGTGCCTCCTCCAACTACAATTTAGAGAATTTGGCAGTATGTCCAACCGGCCTCACAACCGCAGACCATGTGTAACCACGCCAGCCCAGGACCTCCACATCTGTCTTTTTCACCTGCGGGATCATCTGAGACCAGCCACCCGGACAGCTGATGAAACTGTAGGTTTACACAACTGAATAATTTCTGCTCAAACTGTCAGAAACCGTCTCAGGGAAGCTCATCTGCGTGCTCGTCATCCTCACCAGGGTCTTGGCCTGACAGCAGTTCGGCGTCGTAACCGACTTCCGTGGGCAAATGCTCACCTGCGATGGCCACTGGCACACAGGAGAAGTGTGCTCTTCACGGATGAATCCCGGTTTCAACTGTACCAGGCAGATGGAAGACTGCGTTTATGGCATCGTGTGTGCGAGCGGTTTGCTGATGTCAACGCTGTGAACAGAGTGCCCCATGGTGGTGGTGGGGTTATGGTATGGGCAGGCATAAGCTACGGACAACGAACACAACTGCATTTTATTGATGGCAATTTGAATGCACAGAGATACCGTGACGAGATCCTGAGGCCCATTGTCGTGCCATTCATCCGCCACCATCACCTCATGTTTCAGCATGATAATGCACGGCCCCATGTCGCAAGGACCTGTACACAATTCCTGGAAGCTGAAAATGTCCCAGTCCTTCCATGGCCTGCATACTCACCAAACATGTCACCCATTGAGCATGTTTGGGATGCTCTGGATCGACATTTACGACAGCGTGTTCCAGTTCCCGCCGATATCCAGCAACTTCGCACAGCCATTGAAGAGGAGTGGAACAACATTCTACAGGCCACAATAAAACAGCCTGATCAACTGTATGCGGTGTTGCGCTTCATGGGGAAAATGCTGGTCACACCAAATACTGACTGGTTTTCTGATCCACGCCCCTAACTTTTTTTTAAGGTATCTGTGACCAACAGATTAATATCTGTATTCCTAGTCATGTGAAATCCATAGATTAGGGCCTAATTAATTTATTTCAATTGACTGATTTCCTTATATGAATTGTAAGTCAGTACAATCTTGGAAATTGTTGCATGTTGCTTTTATATTTTTGTTCAGTGTATACTGTATGGTTGACTGTCATCAGTCATAAGGTAAAGCTGTACGGCGCTTGTAACACCAGGGTAGTGGGTTCGATCCCCGGGACCACCCATACGTAAAAATGTATGCACACATGACTGTAAGTCGCTTTGGATAAAAGTGTCTGCTAAATGGCATATTATTATTATTATTATTACTACTATATACCGTATGGTTATGGTTGGCTGTCATCAGTTATAAGGAAAAGCTATATACCGTATGGTTATGGTTGGCTGTCATCAGTTATAAGGAAAAGCTATATACCGTATGGTTATGGTTGGCTGTCATCAGTTATAAGGAAAAGCAACAGACTTCAGGAGCAGAGAAAGCTCAAAGTAACACCAAAGATTAAATGTTTAGTTTCCCAAATTATGGAGCTTTACACAAACTGTTTCACTACTACTTTTTTGTTGTTGCTTTTAATCTGAAAATGAGACAAGCCTGCCAGTTCATCATGTGATCACAGTGCTTAGTCCTCTGGTGCATTCTAAATGAGACAAGCCTGCCAGTTCATCATGTGATCACAGTGCTTAGTCCTCTGGTGCATTCTAAATGAGACAAGCCTGCCAGTTCATCATGTGATCACAGTGCTTAGTCCTCCGGTACATTCTAAATGAGACAAGCCTGCCAGTTCATCATGTGAGCACAGTGCTTAGTCCTCCGGTACATTCTAAATGAGACAAGCCTGCCAGTTCATCATGTGATCACAGTGCTTAGTCCTCCGGTACATTCTAAATGAGACAAGCCTGCCAGTTCATCATGTGATCACAGTGCTTAGTCCTCCGGTACATTCTAAATGAGACAAGCCTGCCAGTTCATCATGTGATCACAGTGCTTAGTCCTCTGGTGCATTCTAAATGAGACTGCCAGTTCATCATGTGATCACAGTGCTTAGTCCTTTGGTGCATTCTAAATGAGACAAGCCTGCCATTTCATCATGTGATCACAGTGCTTAGTCCTCCGATACATTCTAAATGAGACTGCCAGTTCATCATGTGAGCACAGTGCTTAGTCCTCCGGTACATTCTAAATGAGACAAGCCTGCCAGTTCATCATGTGATCACAGTGCTTAGTCCTCCGGTACATTCTAAATGAGACAAGCCTGCCAGTTCATCATGTGATCACAGTGCTTAGTCCTCCGGTACATTCTAAATGAGACAAGCCTGCCAGTTCATCATGTGATCACAGTGGCTTAGTCCTCCGGTACATTCTAAATGAGACAAGCCTGCCAGTTCATCATGTGATCACAGTGCTTAGTCCTCTGGTGCATTCTAAATGAGACTGCCAGTTCATCATGTGATCACAGTGCTTAGTCCTTTGGTGCATTCTAAATGAGACAAGCCTGCCATTTCATCATGTGATCACAGTGCTTAGTCCTCCGATACATTCTAAATGAGACTGCCAGTTCATCATGTGAGCACAGTGCTTAGTCCTCCGGTACATTCTAAATGAGACAAGCCTGCCAGTTCATCATGTGATCACAGTGCTTAGTCCTCCGGTACATTCTAAATGAGACAAGCCTGCCAGTTCATCATGTGATCACAGTGCTTAGTCCTCCGGTACATTCTAAATGAGACAAGCCTGCCAGTTCATCATGTGATCACAGTGCTTAGTCCTCTGGTGCATTCTAAATGAGACTGCCAGTTCATCATGTGATCACAGTGCTTAGTCCTTTGGTGCATTCTAAATGAGACAAGCCTGCCATTTCATCATGTGATCACAGTGCTTAGTCCTCCGATACATTCTAAATGAGACTGCCAGTTCATCATGTGATCACAGTGCTTAGTCCTCCGGTACATTCTAAATGAGACAAGCCTGCCAGTTCATCATGTGATCACAGTGCTTAGTCCTCCGGTACATTCTAAATGAGACAAGCCTGCCATTTCATCATGTGATCACAGTGCTTAGTCCTCCGGTACATTCTAATTGAGACAAGCCTGCCAGTTCATCATGTGATCACAGTGCTTAGTCCTCTGGTGCATTCTAAAAGGGAACAAGGAAAACAGTGTTGAGATACATGAAACTGTCTGAAAAAGAAATCACATTAACAGGTGCCATTTCCTTAACTGTATGTCACCTGAAAGCTGCAAATGAGGTGAAGGCCAGGTGTGAATTATACCCCACTGTGAGAGAGAATATCTTTAGCACAGAACACAACGGCGTAAAAAAGAATAAACCAAATGTGTGATGAGTGGACATTATTGAGATAATAAAATCTATTTTATAGGGGAGACAAATCCATACTCTGACTCGAAGCAATATGGCACAGCAGACTACTAGAAGTTGTCTGAATTCTTCCAGACTGGACTAAACCTAGCCCTACTACCAGCTAATTCAACCCAAGACAAACACAGTCTGGAACTCAGAGATTCTCTGGACTCCTGTCCCACCTATAGAACACAGGGCAGGCTGGCGGACTCCTGTCCCACCTATAGAACACAGGGCAGGC